CGAGGAGTGGCTGGTGGGTTTGAACCGCCAGCCTTCTGGTTAGCAGTCAAGTGCTTTAGCCACTATGCTACCAGAGCTCCTTCTTGTACATTAGTCCTCTTTAAGTTGCTCTAAAGTTCACTCGTCTTGTGTCCCTTTTTTAATTACTCTCTGTCTGCAAGTTTCGCTTTGGATATTTTCAGTTGCTCATGGCTTTATGTTCCCTCCACAACAACAAACTAATACTATATTTGTCCTTTTGTAACTGATTTATTTCACTCAGCATAATGTCCTCCAAGTTCATCCATGTTATGTGGTGTTTTGCAGACTCTACATTATTCTTTAGTGCTGCATAGCATTCCATTATGCGTATGTATCATAGTTTGGTAATCCAGTCTTCTGCTGACAGGCACATAGGTTGTTTCCATCTTTTTGCTATTGTAAATACTGCTGCGATGAACATGAGTGTGCATATGTCTGTCCTGGCTCTCACCTCTCTAGGATATATACCTAGTAATGGAATTGCTGGGTCAAATGGTATCTCCAATTCCAGCTTTCTAAGGAATCGCCATACTGCTTTCCACAGTGGTTGTATCACTTCACAGTCTCACCAGCACTGTATGAGAGTCCCAATCTCTCTACATCCCCACCAGCATTTGTCATTTTCTGTCTCATTGAACCTTGCTATCAGTGCTGGGGTGTGATGGTATATCTCGTTGTTGTTTTGATTTGCATCTCTCTGATGGCCAGTGATCTTGAGCATCTCTTCATTAGTTGGCCACCTGAATATCCTCCTTGGTGAAGTGTCTGTTCATGTCTTCTGCCCATTTTTCAATTGGACAGTTAATCCCTTTGCTTTTGAGGCATCAGAGTTTTCTATAAATCTTAGAGATCAATCCCTTACCAGATATGTAATTATTGGCAAATAAGAATTTGTTGCTGTCATTTTTGTTATGTGCTTTTTTGTGGTGTTGATTTCTTTGTTCTATATAATTTTCTATGCTGAGCTCATTTTGTTTATGAATCACGTTATCACTTGCATTGTTACTGTTTTAGTATTTGCTAAATATTTGTGCTGGTCCTCTTTTTTCTTTTGATGTGAAGGTTTATCATTTTTCTTGGAGGTTACCCTGTGATTTATTGTTTTCTTCCCAGGTTTAGAACAGTCCATTCTCTCTTGTAGTTGTCTTGACTTCCCTACCATCTAGAAGTTCTCTAACAACACAGTTTTTTCCCTCTTTCTGGTTTCTAGTTGTCCTTATTTGTCAATTGATGTCTCTGGTTCCCTGTTTACAATCTTGTAGGCTTATTTACTTTGGGTACTTCCATAGCTGGTTATATTGTCATGTGTATTAATGGTCAGTTGTTGTTGGCTGTTGTTGCTTCTTTGTCCAAAGAGCTCCCTTTAGCATCTCTTACAAGATTGGTCTGGTTTTAACAAATTCCCTTAATTTCTGCTTATCTGGAAATGTCTTCATTTCACCATCGTATTTCAGGGACAGTTTTGCTGGGTACATAATTCTTGGTTGGAAATTTTTCTCTTTCAGGGTTTTATATATACCATCCCACTGTCTTCTCGCCTGCATGGTTTCTGCCGAGAAATCTGAGCTTAGTCTTATTGGTTGCCCTTTGTTGGTAACTTCGTTTTTCCCGTGCTGCTCTCATGATTCTTTGTCTTTGGTTTTTGTGAGTTTGATGATGATTTATCTGGGTGATTTTCTTTTGGGGTCTGTCCTATTAGGGGTTCATTGGACTTCCTGAATGGATATATTCTCATTTTCATCATTCCGGGAAAATTCTCTTCCAACAAATCTTCAACAATTTTCTCAGTGGTTTTATTTGTCTCTTCCTGTTCTGGAATTCTGATTACACATAGGTTATTCCTTTTGATGGTATCCTACATGAACCTTAAGTTTTCTTTTGTTTTGATCTTTTTTCTGATTTATCCCTTTTCAAAGAAGTGTTCAGGTATTTGCCTTTGATCTCACTAATTCTGTCTTCCATTGATTCAGTTCTGCTCCTTTGCCCATTCAATATCTTATCTATTTCTGAAAATTTCATATTAATCTTCTGGATTTCTGTGTGTAGATTTTGTATCATTTCTAATTGTTCATTTATATTGTCATTTTGTTTTTGTATTGTCTTTTAAATTGTTCCAGGGTTTTCTCTGTGTTTTCCTCAATTTTGTCAGTGTTTTCCTTGATCGTTGAAAATGCCTAAATAGAATTCTTTTGAATTCCTTATCAGGGAGTTCCAGTGCTGCATCTTCCTCAGGGATGTGTTTTGGGTCTGTATCCTGGTCCCTTGTTTCTCCTGCTTTATCTTGCTTCTTTGTGTGGACTGTGATGCTCTGTTATCTCTGAGGCATTGTGACCTTTATATGTTTGAATTTAATTGGTGATTGTATGTTGGAGTGACTTGCCCACAATTTTCATTTTCTTTGTAATCTACGCAAGCAGGGTACTATGCTATACTCCTCTATTCACTAGTTAACAGCACTTATACACTCACCACCTATCTCCTTTCCTGTTGTCAGCCTCTCTTGTTGTTGTTATGTACCATCAAGTCAGACCCGACTCATAGCGACCCCTCCTTGGGTTTCCGAGGGGGTATCACTGCGGAAGTCAGCCTCTCTTAGGTCCCTGGAATCTGAATGAGAATGCTGTCACTTTAAAATCCAAAATGGCTGCTCCTTTGGTCACTTTAATATCCAAAATGGCCACTGCTTGTAAACATTCAAAATGGCTGTGCCCTCGGTCACTTTAAATATCCAATATGGCTGCTGCATGTAAACAGTCAAAATGGCTGCACACTCTGGACAGCGGAAAGTCCACAGCTCATGTTGTCTCCCTCCCTGCTGTTTCCCTTCCTAGTCATAGGCCACCGGTGCAGTTGTCCCCTGAACCCTTGATGACCAGGGTTGATCTTTAGGTCAATTCTCAGGTCCCAACACCACTTGGAAATATTCAGGCTGTTGTTCCCGTCAGAGTAGCTGACAGTCTGCAGCTCCGACCATCCTGTACTCACTGTTTTAATTCAGGTTTTTCTACTAGTTGGTGCATAATCCACTTCTGTGTAGTTCCTTTCAAAGCTCAGGATTCCAGGATTATCTTCTGTATCTCTGTCATTTGGTTTTTCTTTTCTTTGTTAAAGAGGGTCTGCGTGGCTTGTCTGCCTATTCCTCCATCTTAGGGCTCATTTCTTACTTTCTCACTTACCTGCAAATTGGAGTTTGTACTAGTCTCTGACTCCTGATTTTGTGGTAGGCCTCGATTAGGGGTAGTTTAGTTGTCTTTGTTCATCTGAATGGTTTTTACATAATATATAGAGTGGTTTGAATTTAGGCAGTAGACATTCTACAGCACACCACTGACTTTTCTTGTATTTTATCTTTTAAGGTTTTTTTAAAAATGTTTTTAAATTGAGTATCCCAATATTATTCTGCAAGTTTTTTTCTTTTTCTTCATTCTTGTTATGTTAATTTCATCCTTTTTATCATTTCATATATATATTATCTTCTCTGACAATATTTATTATAGCTTTTAAGTAAGTATTCCAGGGCGAGTATTTGTTGTATCTTTTTAAAATTATTATTTCATTATATCTTTTTAAAACACTGTTTCTGTGCTTTCCACATCGTCTCTCTTTTCTCCAATTGTTGCTGCTGCTGCCACTTTTCAAATCTGATTTGGAATCTCTTGTTCTTACTGATGCTTTCCCTTAAATGTCTGGTATCTTCTGGCTGTTGGGGTCCATATAAGGGTGAGGTGCCACAAAGCTGATTGGCAGCTTTGGCACGAGTAGGCATATAGGCTCTTGGGCCTTAATCCAGTATTTCTGGTTGGTGAGCCAGCTTTTGCATTAAGAGAGCCTTCCCAAATGTCAGTATTTGAAATCTCTTGAAACAAAACTCAGTTTCCCCAGAGATGAATCTTCCAATAAATATCATTCTGGAAGGAAATGGAGTGGAGGTTGAGGTAGGCTTGGTTGCTCAAATTGTAGAGACAGACATGCTGCTGTGATTTGGTATGCATATTTTCTCTCAGTTCCCCACCCTGTGCTGCTTTTTGTTTGTAAGTCTTAAGCTTGTGGAAGATTGAGAGAGTGTCTGTTTTCATAATTACCCCTCTGACTGGGTAACTGTGTTTTTCTTGCACTGCTCTTCTTAATCTGTTACCATCCCACCAGATGCTTTCCATTTTCTGAGTTATTTTTAATATTTTGATTGCATCAAATCATGAAGTTTTCACTCATTTTTATACCCATCTAGATTAATTTCAGCTTATTTCCCTAATGTTTATTAGAAAGGAATAAAATCCCACAGTTTTCCAGAAAGATAATTATATTTCTCAGTCAATCCAACTGTCAAAAAAAAAAAAAGAAAATTATATTTCTCAGGCAGTCCAAGTGCCAGGAAATATTTACCAGTTGTATTTAAATTTGGAATTTTGTCTTTGATTAATGGGTGCAGGTTCGCTCTTTTGTGTATGGTTCCACTTGCAGGACATAGATGGAGGCCTTGGTTGATGGTCTCCAAATTCCTCTTGGCTGCACAGTGGTGAAGACAGAGAGCACAATTTAATATAATATAAATATTTATGAAAGACTAGTAATTAAAGCAGCCTTAATCAAAATTAAATAAAAAACAGAGTTCCTTTATCTTGAGTGGCAGATTTTTTTTTTTCTAAAAAAGCATGTTTGTAAGTTGAGAATTGCATGCATTATGAAGCTACATATGTTGATCATATTTGACAGTTCTCATCTCTTTATTTTTTTCCACTTGTTGATAGAGCGCCTCATTGAAAGCCCCCTGCTGATTTAATTAGCAAATGCCAATTAGAATTACAGCTGGTTGGATTTGGGTACAAGTGTGAAGCAATTGATCTCTTGAGAATGAAAATGTTTTGCTTTCATACTCTCTAGGGAAAACATACTTATAGCTGATTTCAGTAATGTTGTGAAATACATTCTTTTCTTTTGGTAAAATGTGCTATTAAATATGGTTCACATTAAAACCATTATCTTTCCTGTCTGTGGTTGCGAGTCTTGGCTCTTCATGGCTCTGTAATTTGCTTCATGATCATAGTGGATCATCCATCCAACCTCTTTGAGCCTTTGTTTCCCCATCTGTAAAATGGTGATACTAGTGTCTACTTTACCCTTTTACACAGTCACAAAAATCAAGTATGATAATAGATGTGAACGTGCTTGATAGCATAAAGTGCTTTTCAGGATTAGACTCTTATCATTGTTATTACTGTAGTTATTACTTGCTGGCCTGTTAGCTGTCCATCCTTTCATAGACAGAGTGAAACACTGAAAAGAGCACACAGGCCTTAGAATCAGAAAATCCTGCCTTCTCTATTCACTAACAGTGAAAATTGGGAAGCCCCTTAATACCTGACAAAACCTCAGTTTCCTCTTTCTTGAATGGTGTTAGTTATACCAGGATTGTGGTTAGGATCATGAAAAATAATTCATGATATTCATAAAGAATATTGAAAATCCCTTGGATTTTTCTCTTAGATTTCCTACTTGTTCCCTCTTAATACCACAGAAAAGGGGATAAAGAGTTGAGTATTGTGTTAGGAATAAAAAAGTGTGTTCTCGGTTAGCTGATATTAGCTGATCTTAATGGCAGTGAGATTTATGCCGAGAAGCAGTTGTGAATGAGTGAGTGCTGAGTAACTCAAGAGTCAGCAGGATGGAGGGATTCACAGACCATTTAGGGATGGACCAAAAGAACTAAGCCATGTTCTCTCCTTTGATAAGCAGAACCAAGACCAGTCATTGTAGTGGGCTTAGAAATGAAATACCTCACCGCAAGCTTTTCTTAGACCACTTAGAATGTGAGCTATGTTCTCTTGTTTACCCTAGTTATTGCTCTGAATAGACTTAATCGATTTTTCTTTAGAATCTAACATTTCTCTCTTTGTTTTATGTTCTTAGAAAACCACATGTACTTATTTGAAGGTAAAGATTATTCTAAAGAGCCTAGTAAGGAAGACAGAAAATCGTTTGAGCAACTGGTGAATCTTCAAGCAACCCTTTTGGAGAACACTAGTCCCGAGGGCCGGTCACTCCGAACTAAAGGCAAGGTAAGAACTATTTATGAACTATTTATTCTTCCAAACTGTCATCTTATATGTATGTATGTATGTATGTATGTATGTATGTATGTGTGTGTGTGTGTGTGTATATATATATATATATATATATATAAATGGTTTGTTGAAATGTAAGTTTAATTAACTATACCATATGAAAAACCAACCAAAAACCAAACTCATTGCTGTCAAGTCGGATCTGACTCATAGTGACCCCTCCATGGGTTTCTGAGGCAGTATCTCTATGGAAGTAGATTGCCCAAGCTTCCTTCCAAGGAGTGGCTGGTGGGTTTCAACTGCCAGACTTCTGGTTAGCAGTCAAATGCCTTAGGCAGTATGTCACCAGAGCTCCCACCATATGAAAAGTTGGCATAAAAAGCATTAGCAAAGAGAGTTTATTTTACTACTACTTGATGCTAATGAAAGCAGCTCTGCCATTCAAGCCACTTCTAATGGGATCACAATATTACACCAAAATACCATACCCTGCTGTTAATTGTGACCTCTGGGAGTCCTGACGGCACAGTGGTTAAAGTGTTTGGCTGCTAACAGAAAGGTCAGCAATTTGATTCCAGTAGCTTCTCTACAGGGGAAATGTGTGGCAGTTTGCTTCGTAAAGATCACAGCTTTGGAAATACTATGGGCAGTTCTACTCTGTCTTAACAGGGTTGCTATGAGTCATCACTGATGAAATAGTAGTTTGTTTGTTTTTTTTGTTAGGTATCAAGAAGACAGTCATAAACGGTACATGTAATGTATACAGTGTTTGCCACAGAGTATGTGCTCATTAAATACTCACTCACTCACTCATTTACTCACTGCCATTGAGTCGGATCCGACTCATAGCAACCCCTCCTTGGGTTTCCAAGGTGGTATCACTATGGAGGTAGATTGCCCAACCTTCCTTCTGAGGAGTGGCTGGTGGGTTTGAACTGCCAGCTTTCTGGTTAACAGTCAGATATCTTAGGCACTACACCACCAGAAATCTCATTAAATACTAGCTGTTAGTAAGATAATGTTCTGGTTACCTAGTGCCACTCTAACAGAAGATACCACAAATGGGATGGCTTTAACAAACAGGAGTTTATTCTTAAAATTTTTGGAGGCTAGAAGTCCGAGTTCCAATTGCCAGGCTCTAGGAGCTGTGTGAAAGCCCCTCAACCTTGGGCTTCAGCTCTGCCTCTTGCTTCTGGCTCACTGAAGCCAGAGACATCTCTTCATTCAGGCAGCTACTGGCTGCTGAGGCTAGCAAGCCAAGGTCGACAAACAAAATGGCACCATCCCAATGTTACCAAACAACACAGGAGGCTGTTGATTCAAGTCCATTGAAAGTCCCACGATTGGCAGAGCATTGTAGGCTGCTGAACAATGATGCAGCTACATGCAGGGTTCAGGTGTGCCAGAAGCTAGAGACCATTTCCAAAGCTGCTGCTTATATATGGGAAGCGGACCACATCCCTAAAGCAGCTACTCCTGCTTGTGGTAGATCTCTCCATGGAGCTGATTGCCGGTCTCATCATGGGGAATAACCACCACCAGCTACCCAGCCACTCAACCAGGCCCAGTCAAATTGACACACAACCTTAACTACTAAAGATAATGGTGTTGAAATATTCTTTTTAAGAGAGAAGTACATTGTAGGAAGTTTTCCATTAAAATTGGTTAAACTTAAAACGGCACCCTGTATTCAAGGTGTGTGCTTTCAATCAAGAATGGTAATTTATTTTCTGAAGTACCCTATTTCTGATTAAATGAATCAAAGTAGCATATTGCTGTCCCATACTTGCCAGTGCTTGGTTGAGTTTAGAGTACAATGCCCTGGTCACCACACCTGTAAGATGTGTAATATGAGCATTATATCCGAGTGGACAATGTTTTATAAAATGTTAAGTGTACTGCTTCCTTACAGTGTGTGTTTTAGAGATGAATGAACGTCCTGGAGGAATAGGCAGCCCCTGGCCTTCCTGGTTATGGATTTTGTTCTTACAGGCTCTCATCCCAGGCCTGGTGGAGGGCTCTACCAAAAGGAAGCAGATCCTGAGTCCAGAAGAGCTAGAGGACAGAAGGAAGAAGAGACAAGAGGCAGCAGCCAAGAGAAAGAGAGTAATGGAGGAGAAGAAGAGGGAAAAGGAAGAAGCTGAACATAAGAAAAAGTATGTCTATATCATCCACTGATCAAGCTGAGGGGCACAGCTGTTGTAAGACTCACTATTGTATGAGTCCACAGTTTAACATTAAAATTGCAGAAAATGTCTATAAAGCTTGTAGTTCCTGTTGGTAATAGGATAGTTTTTAAAAGACAGATCTTTAACCTTAATGCTTTAGTCTACTTACGTGAAAAATCCGAGTATGTAAGGTAGAGAAGATACATTTTCTTGAAGCAAGAAAGTTTTAAGATTTTGTTGTAGCTGTCTGACGGAAAGTACTTTACTTAAACAACCCGTTTTAGTCGTGTTCTTAAAAACAGGGACGTGGAGTAGATGCTCTGTACTGTTGAAGTGTAGTCATGAGGCAGTTAGGCTAATCAGTAAGACTGCTTGTTAATTTACATATAAGCACAAAACCACAATCAGGGTGAGTTTCTAATTGCATTTCCACTTGGCATTTATGGTTTGTGAATAGCAGTACAAAACATACTCCAAGGGGAAATTGTGATAGGCCCGGTTAATTTGCTTTTCTCTCTGGCCTGCTGAAGGATGGCCTGGTGGGAGTCCAACAATTACCAGTCTTTCTGCCTGCCTTTCACGGAGAGCGAGCCAGAGGGTTCTGAGGACGGGGAAGATGAGAGCTCTGAACTGGATTACCAAGACCCAGACCTGACCTCCATCAAATATGTTAGTGGCGATGTCACCCACCCTCATGCTGGGCCTGAGGATGCGCTCATCGTTCACTGCGTAGGTATGAGAAAAGGTGTACAGGGTACCACAGACTTGATGGTGCAAGGCTGGTGAAGGTAAGGCAGAACGCTGAACTGGATGCTGGTGCCAGTGTGGTATTGTGGTCCCAGAGTGGTCAAAAAGCTTGGATTTTTGTATCAGGAGATTTGGATTTGACTCTTGGCTCTTTCCTTACGTAACTTCCTTGAGCCTCAACATCCTTATCTGTATAATGGGATAGTATCTGCCTTACCCTCTTCACACGGTTTTTGTGAGCGTGAAATGAGACAACATCTGTAAGACAAACAGACTCCTTTGAAAATAAGCAAAATTTCAAGCATGTTCCTACCTTAGGAGCTTTGCCTTTTTACTACTTCTATGTAGAACCCTCTTTCCCCAGATAGCCACATCAAATGTCTTCAGATGTCTGCTTCTCAAGGAGGTCTTTTCTGATTGCCTCACATAAAACCCAGACTGACTTGATGCCATCCCCATCTGTCTATGTCCATTCCTGTCCTACTTTATTGCATGTGTCATCACTTGACATTCCAGAAGAATGCAGACCTACTGCCATTGAGTTGGTTCTGTCTCATAGTGACCCGCAGGGCAGAGAAGAATTGCCCTATAAGGTTTCCAAGGCTATGAATCTTTATAGAAGCAGACTGCCTGCCTCATCTTTCTTCCATGTAGTGGCTGGTGGGTTCAAACCACCAACCTTTTGGTTAGCAGCTGAATGCTTTAACCACTGTACCAACAGAGCTCCTATCACCAGACATTACATAGGTATTATTTTATTTGACTCTTTTTGCACTAGACAGTAAGCTTCATCAGAGTCGATCTTTTTGTTCACTGCTATATCCTTGGTGCCTGAAACAGTACCTTACACGTAACACTTGCTAACAAATAATTTGTAGTATGATTGAACGGATTATAAATACAGTGTACTAGCCAGCTGTGTCAGTACCAGACTGAATAAGTCACTGAACTTTCCCTTTGTGGCATTGTGCCCTGTTGCATTCCCAATGCTTCCATGCTCTCTTTGTTCTGCTTACATTTCCTCTCCACTTTTCTTTAGTTGTCTCTCAGAAATTACAGACACACCACAGAGATTCTGCTTATGCAGAGTACTCATTTTTAAGGTGCTTTCTTGTAATAATGGCCAGGTGTGTCCTCCAGAAAACCTAAATAGAGTTGGAAAGTCTAATCCATGATGTTCTTAGATCAAATACTTTTTCTTCCCTTTGAAAAGTCATTCTTACCACAAACTTATTTGATTTGTCTTTGTTTGTGGTTGGTTGGTTGGTTTTTATATGTGGACTGGACTTTATTTCCTATAGATAACAATTTTCTCTTTGTTCTATAGATGACTCTGGCCACTGGGGCAGAGGTGGTTTATTCACAGCTCTTGAAACACGGTCAGCGGAGCCAAGAAAAATATATGAGTTAGCGGGGAAAATGAAAGGTAAGAAGTAAAGCAGAGGCAAGAGTGAGGATAGAGTATGAGAGGAGAGGACACTTACGATACTTATCATGTTGGTTAAAAAGTACTAGGGAAAGAGTCAGAAGAGCTGTTTTGGGGTGAATCCTGTCATCAGTTAGGTAGTTGGAATGGGACCTTGAGGCAGTCCCTTACTCTCTTCGTGTTTTCTCATCTGTGATTCATGAATTAAACCTACCTCATGGAATTTCACCTACCTCATGGGATTACACTGAGGATAATAAACTTGCAAATATTTTGAGATATGTCAGTCCCGCATACATGTTAAAGTATTGGTGTGAAGATCGTGTCATTGTCTGCCTCAGTCACCCATCTGCATAAGAGAATATCTCATGAAAATGTCAGACTTGGTGGAAGGGAAATCAGACACACCATTAAAATGCTAACAAGAGTTTGGCTTTGGTACTGAGGAGGAGGAGGGTAGCTTATGAAATCAGACCAGTCTGGGACATGACATTCTCTGGAGACAGAAGTGGAGCTGTTTGGGGCCAGGGAGACTTGGGAAGCTGAGCAGTATTGTCCCTTGGCAGAAAGAAAGGAAAAAGGACTCCCCCTTTTAAGTGCAGAAGGCACAAAGTGGCAAAAGGAGTAAAATTATGTGATGATTTCCTAGGAGACTTAAGAGACTGGGACCTTGACCCTGCAGATTTCTTAGAGATTGTTTTTTCCAGATTCTTCAGTCTAATTTTCTGTGGTGGAAAGGGATATGAGTAAGGACTTAGGGAGGATACTCTTTCTAGTAAAACAAATACTAGAAAAAGAGTTTAATATGATTTGAAATAATTAACTCAGATCTAGATATTGATGGACAATTGGCCAAGCAGAGATCCAGGAAAGTTCAGAACTACAGATTCAGACTGGAGTCCTGGTTAGAAGCCTTGTTTGAAACTAGAGAAACGAGAGAGCAGAGAACCGACATGGAAAACCCCTTTGCTTTGGAGCTGAGACAGTGAGAAGAGGCAAAGGGAACTGTCAGAAAAATCAGAGAATCTTGAGATTGAAGTGCAAGGGAGGAGAAGGTGTCAAGAAGGCAAAGTGGTCTGCCGTGTCAGACACTGAAATGAAGAAGAGAAGAGGGAAAAAAGCTGTCATATTTGAACTGATGGTGGTCACATGACCTCAGAGTGCTTTGAGTAGAGAGTGAGGCCTAAAGCCTGACTGCACAAAATTAAGGTGTAAGTGCTTACTAAGAAAACAGGTAGTGTGCATGCTCCTCTAAAAGGATTGAGATAGGTTATCGCAGATTAGATGAAGCTGCTATCATGGGTTAGAAGGGTCTTACAGTCACTGTGGGTTAGAATTACTAGGGATGGCTTCTTGGAGGTGGTAAGTTATACTGAACATGGAAAGATGGTTGAGTTTTTGCACAACTGAAGAGAACTAACAAGGAAATCCCTCACTGTGTCTCATTATTTTTGGTATACACACAAGTGTACTATTTCTGTATTGAAATGACCCAGGCAATTACACAGTTAATGTGTTTGGGGAATGGTGCACAGGCCAGGCAGGCCAGAGTAAAGGGTTTAGGCTGAGGAATGGTGGGGGAGGGTAGGATTGTAAAGAGAGGCCTGGGCCCCTGCTAAAGAGGAACGGAGGTGGCATCTCCTGACCTCCTGTAACTCCACAAGAGGAAGATGGAATCACCATCAGCAGCCCAAGGCTTGTTCTGAAGAAGCCAGACATGCCACCACCCTTCAGCCCTCTTACTAAGCTTGACACCAACCATCCCTCTCACGGTACCTACCACCTCTTTGCTGAGTTCTATATTTTGCTGCAGTGGCCACACAGAACTCACAGACTATGAGGTTTATTAGAGAATCAACAAGCTACAATTCAAGTTCAGGAATGTGCTCAGGATATAGTTGCTTGATCAGAACAGTCTCCCCTCTGCTGTGCCCTTAGACACACCTATCTGGCTCTCAGCCTCTCAGCCTGGCCTCTACAGGCCAAGTAAGCCTGCAGCTCTGTCTCCTGCCTCGTGGTTCCACTCTCTCAGCCATCTCTCAGTTGGGTGTCTTTCTGAGCCATGTGTCTCTCTTTCTTAGCCACACATCTCTCTGTCTCAGCCATGCATCTCTCTCTCTCAGCCACACATCTCTCTCTCATAGCCACACATCTCTCTCTCAGCTGTGCGTATCTCTCTCAGCTGCGCGTCTCTCTTTCTCTCAGCCACACATCTCTCTCCCTCTCTCAGCAGTGCGTCTCTCTTAGCCAGCAGCCAGAGAAAATCTTTTCTGCTTCCAGGAGGGCTCATTTTGAGCCTGGCAGAGTGGCAAAACCAACCAATTGCAACATCAGAATTCTACACACCTGAGAGAGAGCAAACTTCCCAGAAGATTATTACTTCATGCTGCTCCAATAGAATATACCCCAGGTGGATGACTTTAACAATCAGCAGTTTAAATTGCATGGTCCCACCCAGTTATCTGGGAGTTCTGGTAGTGTAGTGCCTAAGGCACTTGACTGCTAACCAGAAGGGTGGCAGTTCAAACCCACCAGCCACTCCTTGGAAGGAAGATGAGGCAATCTACTTCCGTAGTGATACTGCCTTGGAAACCCAAGGAGGGGTTGCTATGAGTCGGGTCAGACTCAACACACATAACAACAACAACAACAACCCAGTTATCTGGTGGGAGTTACAAAGACTATAGCTAGACAACCCATACCATGTAATTTACTATACTGCAGCCCCTTAATGGAAGACCGTACATGTCCATCTCAGGAGATGTCATTCTAAGTAGGACCTTATCCAGTGGGTAGTTGCTACTCATTTGGGAGATTTGAACAGAAGAATGGCTAGCAGAGCCAGTGTTGTAGAATGATTTAAAAGATTGGGATGTGAGGGGTGGAGTGAGAGGGCCAAAGGTTCAAACTGGGGTATGCAAAGCCACAGAATTAGCACATTTTTCTAGACCATTACTTTGATTTGATTTGGGTGAATGAAATATAGAATACTATATTTGAAGGATTTAAGACAAACATAAAGCTTGCAAAGAATTTCAAGCTCAAGTGCCCTCCCACCCCCTAGCTTCCACAAAGTCTTTGCATTCACCCTTGATGCCTGCAGGGGTGCTTTGCTGGTAATGTTTAAGATGCTGGGCTAAGTTGGTAACTGAGGCCAGAAAAGGAGAAAAGTTTATGAAGATTGTGAAGAAAGGAAGGGTGGGGTTTGAATGTTAATTGGATTTGGAAAAGGCAAGCTATGAGGATTCAAACAGTCCTTTCAGTGGTTTTAGTCTTCAATGAACTTAATGTTCTTTCTGTTGTCTTTTTTATTTTACCTCAGACTTGAGTTTGGGAGGTGTCCTTTTATTTCCTATTGATGACAAAGAGTCAAGAAACAAAGGGCAAGATTTGGTAAGTAAAAAGCAGACCTCTTATTCACACTGAGATTTGGCTCACCTCCCCTGCTCAGGAAACCTCTCCTGCCCTGCTGGCCGCTAGCAGGTTAGCCTCGCCCTCTGCTGCACTCACTCCGTGCTGCTTCCATCCCTCCAGCATGTGGAGCCCTGGCCTCTGCTTCCTTGTTCCCTCTGCTCACCTAGACTGCATCCCCCTAGGGGCAGAAACTATTTTATTTGCCTTTTTGTCCTCAATATCTAGCTCAAAACCGGCTCATAGAAAATACTCAATATACATTTTCTGAATAAGATGATATGACTCAAAGCTGAGGATTTGATCAGTTAGTACATGAAAAGTTCTATGAAAGGTCATATTTTCTAGCCAGAAAAAATCCATATTACTCTGCCTACGTCAGAATTCTATCTTTTGCATCTTCAGTATTTCCCGTTTTGGTCTTGTCAGAGGGACTAGTTCCTGGAGAAGGAGAGCATGCTTGGTAAAGTGTAGAGGGTCAGAGAAAAAGGGGCAGACTCTCAATGAGACGGACTGACACAGTCGCTACACAGCGGGCTCAAGCACAGCAAGGACTGTGAGGCCGGCGCAGCACCGAGCGGTGTTTCATTCTGTTGTGCACAGGGTCGCTGGGAGTCGGAGCCAACTCCATGGCACCTGAGAACAACTTGCCTGTCATGTGAATTCATGTAATGAGTTATATTTACTCACCTGCTTGGCTTTCTCCAAGGCCTGAGTTCATAAGCAAATTTTGAGCTGAATCTACTGACTTAGAAAGGAAGAAATTTAGAAAGTGGACTGAAAGAGAGGCTCATTCTCTTCAGGTTGGTGGTCTGCATGGCTCCCGACAAGGCAATTTCTGTTTGATACTCTTTCAGGAATTTTCAAAATGCTGTATAAAAATGAGAGTGACATAGCATCTGCGCATAAGATGCTCTGAATCTAGTGACTCAAGAAAACTGCACACTGAGTGGAACACCATGTCTGCTGTGTAACTGTAGTGATGTTAGTTCCAGAAGCTCCCTTGATAATCTGCCTGGCTTTGCCCCACTTAGGTTAGGACAGGGGTTGATATTTGGCATTTTTTCCTCACGGGAATTGTTTGAAGAGGGATCAAATGACTGCTTGTCCAGGGGTTATGGAGCTGACACAAACATCAGCTGGAGAGCTGGAGTATAATACCTTGAAAGTTCTATTCCTAAGACTGAAAAATTCCTTCTTTACCTTTGAGAGCATTTAGGAAGCCCAGTTTATTTTACGGTTTTGTTTTAATGTATCTTGAAAAGAGAAAGAAGCTTATGCAAAATAAGATAAAAACATAAAGATGGGGCGTGAGGTCATATATTTGATAGAACATGATTTTTCAGCCAGAGCACCAAAAGGAGATGGAGCCAAAGCCTATAGTGACCCACAGTGGGCAATGCCTGTGGGGATACGGCTTGCTCCTCCTTGACGGGCAGGTCATCAATTGGCATGTAGCTATTTAATGTCATGTCAACCATTCAATGATTATTCTTCTTAGTTGGCCTTGATTGTGGCTCAGCACCGTGATCGCTCCAATATCCTGTCTGGCGTTAAGATGGCAGCCCTAGAAGAGGGCCTGAAGAAGATATTTTTAGCAGCAAAGAAAAGGAAAGGTAAGCTCTTCCACTGATGCTCAGTAGATGTATTTCTGTTTCAGTCATGTGCATAGACATAGGATGTGGTTTCATGAAGGGAGAAATGTCAGGACCCCATTCAGTATGTATGGTAAAGGTTAACCCCAGTGTAAGAGAGGGAAGAAGTAAAAGCCACACCATCTTACATTTTGTATATCCCTTTTTCCTTTCCAAATCACTGTCATATACATGATGCCTGGGGACCGTCTTCATCCACTGGGGTATGTGTATCATGATTGTACAGATGAGAAAGCAAATAACTGGAGATGAAGGAACCTACCTGGTCATTCGTAGTTGGGAAATACTGTTTATTACATCCCCTCTTAGAAAGTCATAGCCTACGTTAGCAGACAGTTCTCTGCCAAAAACCAAAAAATTTGATTTCATTTCCAAACCCAGTGTATCTCAGAGTTGACTTATTAAAGAATCTTTGCTTGACTTATTAAAGAATCTTTGCTCATTTTAATTATGTCTCTAAATTTGATCATATTCTATTTCCATTGTACTTAGATTCATTTCCAAAGCCCATGGATCCTTGTGTCCAACAGAACTATTTAACATTTCTCTGTTACAATCCTTCCCTAGAATATCTTTTGACATTGTAATAGGATATTTTAGGTGGAACTGTCTATGATTATACATATTTTGCCCATTGGGAACCACACATTGACTCTGGGAATATAGATTATTTCTTCCTATGTGTATTTTATACCCATTAATCAATTTTAATGAATGAATGCATCATCATCTACTCTTTTTTTTTTTTTTTTTAATAGCAAGTGTCCACCTTCCACGCATTGGATATGCCACAAAAGGTTTTAATTGGTATGGTACTGAGCGTCTTATTCGGAAATATTTGGCTGCAAAAGGCATCCCAACTTACATGTATCCTTTTGTCATATTAATGATGTGCTCCGCCCCAGCTCAGAAGGGAAAATGTTTCATATTTTATGGTATCAGTATTTAATCCAAGGCCAGATCCTCTTGTGGTACACTCTTCATTCTGCCACTCTTCAGTAAGACAGGAAACATGCATTCATCCAAGCCATGATAAGTAAATTTTAAAATATATATATTATATACTGAGGTATGTCAATGTTTGGAAGATCTGTATAACTCAGTGAACCAGTATTTTCCAAATGACCAGTGCATGATGTGACAAAATTATACATGGGTAAAATATTCGTGCAAAATGCAAGATTGACTAATGGATTTCAGTGTGGAAAAGTATAAAAATTTCTTTGATATAATTTCTGATTCCAAATTGCAAAAAGTCAAAGAAATTACTGCTTGTCAAGTTTTAGTATAGAGTCAAAGAAGAATATTCACAATTATTTGAAAAGGCCTTTAAAATATTCCTTCCATTTCTAATTGCATATCTGTGTGAAGCCAGATTTTCTTCAGATATTTGAATCTAGCCCACATATGACAGCAGATTGAATGCCGAGGAAGATCTGAGAATCCAGCTGTCTTTTAAATCAGGCAATAAAGAGAATGGTAAAAATGCTAAAAAGTGAAGAAGAAGCACAGAAGCATTTTTTAATTTTTGTAACTCATACATATCCAAGGAGATAAACACACTCAAGAAGTTCTGAAAGCCAAGAGCTAAATTAAAAGTTATACGAAGAGGAATTAAAAGTTATACGAAGAGGAATTAATTGAACAATTGCCATTTGATAACATATTTAATGTTTTTCAGATGGTTTCTCTAGAGAGTCTTCTGTAGACCAAGAACTAAGTGTAAGAACTTCACTCTGTTAACTAAATAATTAAGGAAACAAGAAGTGAATTAATGTTATTTCTGAACACTGTACATGTATTTTTAAGAGACAGTGTGAAATTAATTTTGACCATTAGGTCTTACCTAGTTTTGCTGGGTAAGGAGCAAAAGGCATGTGACTGCTAACCAGAAGCCTAGCAGTTCAAACCCACCAGCCACTCTTTGGAAGGTGGATTGGGCAATCTACTTTTCTAGTGATACTGCCTCGGAAACCCAAGGAGGGGGTGCTGTGAGTCAGATACAACTCGACAGCAGTGAATTTGGCTTTTTGGGTTTTTTTTTTAAGTTTTGCTAGACAACTATTTTCTACTAAATACTAGACTTTGTCACTGTTGTCTGAAGTACAGAGTCCAAAATCACTAGAAGAAGTTGAATTGGCCCCAAGCACTATAATCATACAGATATTCATTCTTTTTACTTACTTATTGAAATTTCTTTTACTCAGTGTTGATTTTTAAGATATTTAAGTCACTGTAAAAGAGCAGTGATGTTTCATACTCTTGCACAATTCAAGCATTATCAAAGGAATTTTGGTATATCACATAATTGATAATAGTAGTGAGTGCTAACAGTATTGGAAGTATTTGTGATATGGTGAAAGGCATATTACTAGACTAATTCTACAGTAATTAGTAAACTAAAGAACTATAGTTCTGATAAAGTTGATATTCAGGTGATGAAATATATGCATCTTCCTTGACCATTTTTATCAGATACTACTTTCCAAGAAGTAAGGCTTCTGTCCATCATTCACAATCTTCTTCCTCAAGACACATGGTACCTTAACAGTTGGCCCAGCATTAGGTCCAGACTTCAGCAACCAACTAATAAGATAGGACTAGTCCAGAGCTACTATACTAGAGTATTTTAAAAAGGAATTTGGATCTGGAAGGCCTCTGAGATGCTCTGTTTTCAGAATTTGAATTTTGTTGTCCTGGATATGTTACTTTGATTTGTTACCTATAGTACAGGAATGCAGGATTTATTTGGAAAGTCCTTTTGGCAGTTTGCCAGGGCCCCACTTTGTTGTATAATAAACTTCTCATCACTAAATGTTTAATTGCCTCACGCTTCTTCCCCTTTTCCCTCAATCTAGTTATCTTCCCCATCAACCAGACTGCTTTCTTTACAGAGGAAATGGCTGCATAGACAAGGAGAAAATGAAAGGTAATAAGAGAACAGGGTGGTTCTGGGAGAGGGAAGCACCTTTGTCCTATTGAGAGCCTTTGGGAGAGACAGGACTCTGAGGGGCAGAGGCTAAGAAGTGGGATTCTTGATCTAGACTAATGAATCCCCTCCCTTGGCCGTGCTTTCCCCACTTACCATCAAGCCTAGAAGAAAATGCATTGGCCCAGAGGTGTGTCATGTGACTTCAGAGAAACCAGAGGATCTCTTTTTTATAACCTATCAAACCCAGTTCAGCCTCAGGAAATAAGGGAATTATGAAAATGCCACAGTCAGCACAGAAAATCTGTTGGTATTGATGAGGGGCTAGGAACTACTGGAGAGAGAGTCATGGGGCAAACTGAAGAGCTTGTGGTGTTTCATGCTTCTGTGTGTGAAGTCTCAGTGAGCCTGGTTTCTGTTGCTTTGAGGCCTTCAACATAAGCGTGCTGCAGAGGACTCTTCAGAAGCCTCCATCCTGAGCCCTTGATTCAGGGAGCCAGGACCGTGACATTCTAAGAAAGGCAGTGCCTTTACCACCTGGCTTGTACTGTTCTATTTGACTCACCCTGCACCTTTAACTCTTCAGCAGTGTAGCATTTGTGCTGAAGACTGGGAAAAAAAAAAACAAACTTCGTTACCATTGCGTCAGTTCTGACTCATAGCGACCCCCATTGGGTTTCCAAGGCTGTAAATCTTTACAGAAGTAGATCACCCCATCTTCCTTCTGTGGAGCAGCTGGTGGGTTTGAATGGCTGACCTTCTGGTTAGCAGCCAGATGCCTTATCCACTACACTACCAAAGCTGCTTTCTTGAAGACCAGTTAGGCCCTAAATTCATGGCTCCTTCACTTTTTTGTCCCTAAAGCTTTTTGCATCCATTTTTGCGGCTTCCTACTTACCATTTAAGGAGCTCTGGTGATGCAATGCCTAAGGCATTTGACTGCTAAACAAAAGGTTAGCGGTTCAAACCCATCAGCTGCTCCATGGAAGGAAGATGGAGCAATTTACTTCCATAAAGATTTACCACCTCAGAAACCCAGTGGGGGTCACTGGTGAGTCAGAACTGATGTGTTGGCAGCAGGTTTGGTTTTGGTTTTTGGTATCTTATCACTTACCACCAGCCCTTCATACCACCCATCTAGGTTATTACAATAACCTTAATCTTACAGTCTAAAGGTTTTCCTACAACTAGAGGCAGAACTTGAACACTGAAAAGGGAGAAGGTAGTGAAACCTAGCCCAATACACAGGCAAGTTGCTGTGCCTTCAGAAGCAGCCAAGTCCAGATGCGCAGGGTATTAGTAAAGTGCAGTGAAAACTTGCATGGGTACTGTGCAAAAGCTGCGTGTCCGCCCAAAAGGTGCATTCACTTCTGAAAGCAGAATGCGTGAGGCTGCCTATGAGTGCTTCTGAACGTTGGACAAAAGTGACAGACAAGGGACCTCATACCTAAACGGGGCCTTTTCAGGGGCACAGTTGTGTTTTGGGGGGAGAGGGCCTATTTTTTTCACCCTATATTCTGTCTACCATGTGTTTTTTCTCTATAAAGAGCCCCCGGGCCATGAACCTTTGTCTCCTGGGAAGCTGACCAAGACAACATAAAAGGACATCAGGAAACCCATGTAGCATATTCTCCCTAAATGTGGTGCCTCCCAGAGGCAGCCTCCTGCTTTGCCTGTCTACTTCTCTTAGCTCTTCAGAGTCTGAAATACTGCCCTGCTACATCTCCATAAATCTTTCCTGTCTTCTTCCCATCAAAAAGGTGTCATTCTATGAGAAGAAAGAATGAGAGACCTTACCTAATATCTTTACCCCAAGTGTTTTGATCCATTTCTTCCACAGGCCTCACTTTGATGCCATCCAGCCCTCCACTCCAAGGAGGCTGAGAAAGTAGGGTCAAGGGGACATTAAAAGATTTTATTCACTGACAGCTTGTGTAGGACAACTAATGCTCTAAACATCAGTATTAAAAGATCCTTGCTATAATGATAGTAAGAAACTTTATTGAAATTTTTCTATATATAAAACCTCATATATTTTCTTGGTTTTAATAAACTTTACCTTGTAGTAAGCCTACAATTTCTTTTATTTTTTGCTCTATCATTCTAAGCCAGATGCTACCAAGTTATTTAAATCTCTTGAAGTGTAGCTTGAGTTAGCCATTTAAAATCCCCAAACCATCTTCAGGCCAACATTTTTCTGTGTTTTACTGTCTACTAAAACCACTCTAGCATTATTCACCTTCCACCATAGTACTGCTCTATTATACACCCTAATTTCCCAAAAGACATTCTTCAGTTTCTCACTTGGGCCTTTGCTCATGCTAGCCTCCCTGCCTGGGGTGCCTTCATCTTCACCCTCTCCCCTACTTTTCCTCCCTCCCTATTGTCACCTATCAAGTCTGGTCCTCTTTAAGAATCCAAGAAAGGTATTTCCTATATTCCCACAAAAATACAATCTCTCTGTACTTGATAATTGGGTTTGTGACACTTACTTTGTTTCAACTCAAATTCATTAGTGTATTTACTGAACCCTTGTCTAGATATGAAGGCTTTTGAGAAAGAGATTATTTCTCATTTACTTTTCATATCACACAAATCGATTAGTAGGCACTCAAATATTTGTTGAAATGGTGTGGGAATAACTGACTAGCAATTTAGTAAAAGTATTAGACTTCCACTATATGTGTCAATAAACTCCAGATGGCTTAAGTATTTAAATATAAACTCCAAGAATAAAGGAAGAAATGTCATTTGTATGGTGTCTGACTACTCTTTGAAGCTGCTTCTTATATTATTAAAATACCAGTGACATTGAGGTGAAGACTCAAAACCACACGGAAAATAGACAACCAGGCAACCAAATGCAAGAATTGGAGAGGAAATAATAATAGTTCTAAGGAAGAACTGAACTGAGATTTCATTTTAAGAAACAAAGGTGATTTAATAATCTGGGACCTTCAACAGCCAGAAAATGAGTAGTCATTTCTCTGTAACGCTGAAGATCCACTCTGATGATGTCCCAAATCTCTGCCTTTCCTTCCCTTAGTAGAAGCTAAGAAAAAGTCCAATTCCTTCATCTCTTCTTTGAATTCTATACCCTCTAGCAATTTCAGGAATGTTATTCTATCAGCTACTCCTTCACTTCTGTATTTAACTTCTTTAAATTTGGCTGCTAACCAGAAGGCTGGTGGTTCAAACCCACTAGCCACTTCTCAGAAGGAAGGTTGGGCAATCTACTTCCTTAGTGATACCGCCTCGGAAACCAAGGAGGGGTCACTATGAGTTGGGTCCGACTTGACGGCACATAACAACAACAACAACAACTTAGTTATAAGGGAGCCCTGGTAATGTAGTGCCTAAGGCACTTGACTGCTAATCAGAAGGCTGGCAATTCAAACCCACCAGCCACTCCTCGGAAGGAAGACTGGCAATCTACTTCTCTAGTGATAACTACCTTGGAAAGCCTAGGAGGGGTCGCTATGAGTTGGATCTGACTCCATGGCAGGGAGTTGTTTTTTTTTTTTTTTTTGTGGGGGGTTTATTGACTTGTACAGAAGGTCAGTTCTCTCCCATTAAAAAACTCTCTCAAGCCAAAGCTCAGAACAGTTGTCTGTAATCAACTGTTTTCATTTCTTTACCTCCCACTCCTTAATCTACTCCATTTTGACTTTCTGCACTGTCTCTTCACCAAGGGAGTTCATATTAAGAATACCAATGACCTCGAAGGCAGTAAATCTAAAGGACATTTTTCAATTCTCATCTTGATCTCTCAGTATACTTCAACACTGTCAACCACTTCTCACGTCTTGAAACACTCTTGCCTTGGCTTTTGTGACAAGATACTTTTCTATGACAGTATAATCTCCAAGAGTTTATCGTCTATGGCCTTTGTATAATCTCTCTTTTTTTCCCCCTTCTCCACAGTCTTCTTTTGGTATAACCATTAAATGTTGGATTTTCTCAAGGCTTACTCACAGAATCCCCTGTCCTCCTCACATTCTGAATCTTCTCCTGATGCTACTTACTTCATCCATTTATGAACGTGTGAGTCATCTCCTTGTATCTCTAGTCCTTAAATTCTGGGCGTATGAACTCAACTGCCTACTTGACGTTTATTCTGTATATTTCAAAGTTCCTCAAATTTACTTGTCTAAAATTGAGTCAATGATTAATTCTTTCTCATTCTCCCAAACAAAATGAGTATATCCATTCATTTATGCAAGCCCCACAGAGTTAGAGTTAGCTTTAATAGTTCTCTCATTCTCCATAAATTCAGTCTATCATCAAGCTCCAGCTATTTTACTTTTTAAATATCTCTTGGATTTAACCACTTTTCTCCATCTTCACCATCACCTTTGCATTGTTGTTGTTATGTGCCATGGAGTCGGACTCGACTCATAGAGAACCCTCCTTGGGTTTCCGAGGCAGTATCACTACGGAAGTAGATTGCCCCAGCTTCCTTCCGAGGAGTGGCTGGTGGGTTTGAACTGTCACCTTGGCCTAGGCCACCATTATATTTCACCAGGATAACCATTAAAACCTCCTTCTTCCATGTATTGACTCTAGCTGCTCCTAAAACCTGTTCTTTAGATTGCAGCCAGAGTATTCTTTGTGAAATA